TGTTACTTACCATACATGCACCTTCATTGTACGAGTTAATTCTCGTATTGACGCATTAAACGTTATCTTTATTCCTTTGAAGAATATGCACACTAGAAATAAAAGTGAAACATAAGATAACAAGGACTTTAAAGAAAACATCAAGTTTTTAACAAGGAAAAAAAATAAAACACAACATTTAAAAGGTGTTGAAACACAAACATCTTGATAAGGAAATACTATACAGAAGCATAATTATATTTTAAGTAAATGAAACATAATTAAAACAAATCTTGCGTAACTGATTAACAGAAAGGCTATTTTAGTGAAATCATATCTCACAATATTATTAAACGCGATTATTTTTATATATCATGATATAACTCAATTACTCAATATGTATCTTACAGCTATGAATGTTTTTAAGACAGAAAAAAATGTATCAGTGTTTACAGTAAATTTTGATTTATTACTTGAAAGATTATATTACTTTAATATACAACTTTTCCTGCTTAAATTATGACCTGTATGTGCTTCATTTTATTTATTTGAAATTAAATTCACTGTTTATGCCGATGCGTCGAGGTTCAATGTCCTCCGGTTGGTGTGATGTGGTAATGAGAAGAGGGCGGTGCCAGCTCAGGTGTCACCCTCGTCACTTGACCATGGACCAAAATTACGAGGTCCGTCTCCAATAGCCCTCGTAATGCTTTACATTGTGCGACATTAAAATTTAACTCTCTCTCTAACACTAACCAGAATAGATTTAATTCAAGGTGTGAAAAACTTCATATTCATTTGATGCTTCTGTGCTTAATTGGATAAACAGATGGCTTGTATTAATTTTGGGCATTTTTTTCTGCCTGAAAAGCTCAGAAGTGAGATTCTTATATGTTTGATAGATACGAATAACTGTTCAAACTTTTTTTTAAATCAACAATATTATACGAGTAAATAAATGCATGTTGAATTTCCAAGTTTTTTTTTTCTTTAATATTTTTCGCGCTACATTTAGGAAATACTTAAAATTAATTTGTAGTAATGAAACTGTTTAACTACAACAATGAAATTTCGTTAAAAAATAAAATGTACTGCATTTTTTTTTAACATCTTTAACTCCGTGCACCACGCAATGTATAACACGGGGGTAAACAACACAGACAGAAGAAAGGATTACAACACAAACATCCATGTACTGCATTTGAATTATTTTAATATAGTACCGTTCTCTCTCTTATTAGAATCTAAGTCACACTTTTTTCCTAATGTTAATCTTACTGAAAATCGCGTGCGGCTTAGAATTATTTCGATTTCTAAGCGCTAAGAAAAAATTCTTTGGATGGGGGAATTGAACATGATATTGATAATTAGAGCAATTACAGGTATGCATTTAAAAAATTTTGAAAAATGGCAAAATAAATTATTCACTTCTTATTAGTTATAATTTTTATTTTTTTTAAAATTCCGTTAATATCGAATATTAATACACCATTTTACACTATTTTTTAAAGATTTTTTTTTACAAAAACACTTTGAGAATTTGGGATGTGGCTTAGAATTGATGGCGGCTTAGATTCGAATAAATATGGTGTTTCAAAAATTCTAAGTTGGCTGTATAATGTGTAATTCAAAAATCATTTCAATCGTATTTTTTTAGTCAGAATTATAATTAAAAGTATTTCACTCAAACGATGTTATCAAAAAGTATCAAATTCAGAAATGGAAGGAATCGTTTTGTACTTATTTATTGTAGTAATTAAATTAATGATTTTTCTTCCCCTTACAATTTATAATAATATTTATTACATTCAGAAAGAAAGTTTTATTCAAAGAAAGGAATAAAAAAATAAAAATATAATTTATGAAAGATCTAATACAAAGCAATAAAAAATACATAATTAAATAATCAACCAAAGTCCTATTTTTTCATTTGTAATTCGTCATATATGTTAAATATATTACGAGTTTTTAATCTCCAAATGCATATTATTTCACTGGTTTTTCTCGTGCAGTCTTCAATTAATACAAATTAAAAGCAAAATAATAAATATAAATTAATTTTATTTTTAATTTATAAGTGTAAAAGCTCAGCTCATTTTACATCAGTGTTTATTTAATCATTAGGAGCTTAGAATTTCACTGTATTATCTTTGAGATTAAATCAATCAAGTTAAAGGTAATATAGTAATAGTAATGGCAGACCTTTTTCTAAGATCACCAGAAAAAAACCATAGAATACATTTTCTCATTATTATAATCAATAATTTTATTATTTTCTTAAGAGTATTTCGATATTTTATAATAATTCTTTAATTAGTATTTTTTTTTCAGTAAATTTTCTTCAGGAAAATCAAAAAAATACTTTTATGAAACAATTTTTAATAAGTAACTGGTGACAAGATAAAATGTAAAATAAAAAATTACAAACCGCAGCTATGAAAAAAAATGAGCTTATGTTTATACCGATTGCGTAATCTATCTTGAAACAACACCAGTATCAGAAAAAAATATTAAGGGGACATGGTATAATTTATGCAAAATTTTTTAATTTAAGGGTTTTCATAATTTTTTTGGATGTCTCCTATGTGTGTATACAATGTAATACAGATTTTGTGCTCAAAATTTCATAAAAGTCGGACCATTTAATTTTTTAAATAAAAAGCTTAAAATTTATGAAGTGATTTTAAAATCCTGCTCCTCCTACAAAAATTTACGTACATGCATGAAATTTGATTTTCAAGTACGTCAAACTATGCATAACAAAAGTTGGTATGAGTTTGGCGATAACATGATTTGTATTCGTACAATACTTTTTATGTTTGCTTATTGAAAATTCCTTAAAAAATTTATAAATTCTGAGTTCAATTATTTTTTAAAAAAATAAGTATTGCTTTGATTCAAAAATGCATACCAACTTTTGGTACATGTACTACTAGCAATAGGTAAAACAAATCTCAAAACATTAGGCATAATAGAAAAAACATCTTAGCATTTTAAATGAAGACAAACTAGTTATTTTATTTTTCTCCGAGATAAGTAAGTTTGAAAGTTTTGATTTGTCATAGGGATGTCAATAAAAACGAAAGTAAAAGCTTTCATAATTTTACGTTTTTTAAGTTAAGAGCTTTCAAATTTTTCGAGGTTATAGAGAAAAGTATATAAAAAATAATTTAAGCTAAAAAAAAAATTAATTAAATTTGATTTTTTGACCGATTTTTGTCAATTGAATCGTGTTGTGGTGGAAAAGTAATTAGTTCCATTTAATGGTGGAAAAGTAATTAATTCCATTAAAAATGTACAAAAGTATGCTTATGGTCAACTGCAATCAAATTATCACATAATTACTCATACAAACACTTGTAAAAACCTTATTAGAACATTACCTTGTATGATTTTTTTTACTGTTCTAAATTCGTGATGCTTATGATGCGTATGCTAATGAACCTATTAAATTTACATAAATAGCGATAGTAACATTGAAAGTAAATTTATAAAAAAAACTACTAATACTGATATCTTGGAAACAACACATTAATTTTTTTTAAATTAAAAATTTACACTTAATTAATTTAGAATCAATTTAATAAAGTCATACATTGTGTAGACTTTTATTTCATATATTATGACATAAGAAATTGATTATGAGAAGAATTCTATTATCATCGATTATTGTAAGAAATCGATTACTATAAAAAACAATTGCGAAATTATCATTGTTGGAATAATTTTAAATATATGGAAGAATTTTACTTGTGGTATCTAACCCTTTTAAAAATTTTTATGCGTGGTACATGAAAATTCTGAGTTAATAGGACAATAACATCTACTGGAAATCTATGAAATTTCAAAGGATTTGAATTTAAAAACGAAAAAAGAAAACAGCAACTAAATAATTATCTCTAGAAATAAAGATACTTTACAATTTTTTCAATAAATTTTAGCTGTATTTGTAACTAAACAAATTGCACGCTGTTTCATTTACACATTTTTTTAACATACAACCGATTTTTACTTTCACTTTTCTCTTAGAACAATTTTATTTCAAATGTGTTTTATCCACTGGATACAGTAGCGCACATAAATTTTTTTCAAGGTGGGTGTCCATGGTCGAAAGTCTCCCAACTCGTATCATACCTCAAGACAACACCAATTGATTCTTCTGAATTTGTTAACAAAAAACAGTAAAAAATAAATTATTGAATTAATAAATAATAAAATAAATTGTTAATTACAAGTATTTAATTAAATTTTACGTTATATATATTTAGAATTATCATCAATCGAAAGAAATCAAGGGTTTAGGGGGTGGAGGTCTGGAACCCCAGGACACCCCCTTATGTGCACCACTGACTGAATATATTGATTAAGTAGAATATTAATTATTATTAATGCATTGTTAATTATAATAAATAATTTTTCCAGTTGAACTAAAGGGGTACTAGGTGCTGTAAATACCTTTACCTTTAGTAATGGTGTACCTTTAGTAATGGACTTGCATTTTTAAACCACGGTCAGATGACTTAACTTCCACATTACACCGCATGGGATGTTTGAGAATCAGTTGAAAATATGTAACATCTTTCATTATTACTCGCACAAAGTTTTGGGTGGAACCAAGACTCAAACCCATGACTCCATTCTAATACAGGCAGTCACAAATTTCGCAACCAAGAGTATTGCGATATCAAAACCTTTTTAAGTGTGAAGAAAGAAGCACTTATTTAGTTAAATTCCCACAGTTAATTCACTCCCTCCCTATATTACACACACACACACACATATATATATATATATATATCTGTCAATTCCCTATATATATATATAACTTGAATGGGTGAATAAAACTCTTCCTTTCATCCATTCAAGTTCAAATACATTTTTTAAACTTGTAGTAGATGACACTTAATGTTAATAGAGTTTTTTCAAATATTAATTCATTAATTAAATTAAAAGATGAATAAATAGTGGTAAACAAAAATAATAGTCCAACAGGAAATATAAAAAGGAAAATCGTTCGTTGTGTCCCTGTGGCGCAATGAATAAGAGCGTTGGACTTATAATTCAAAGGGCGTGGGTTCGAATCCCACTTGGGATGGCCTAATTCCTGGGAATGATTTCTTTTTTACTTTACTATTTTATTATAATAATAAAATTTAATTAGTGAATGAATAGTAACAAACAAACAAAAATAGTCCAACACCATATATAAAGAAAGGAAAATCGCTTTGTATTTTGTCACTTAATATTGTGATTCTGTCATATGTATATACATATTTATATTAATTGTAACTATTTAACAAAAAGTAACTATAATAACATTTTTCATTGATGACCGAAGTAGGAATTGACTTAAATTTTTTTTATATATTACTTGTTATAATATATTTTATAAAAATTTTTTTGTTTTTTCAATACAGCTAATATAAGGTTCCTATGCATATTTTTCTCTTTCCTAGATATTTTGAGGAATCCGAAAGGGTACTAGTTATTCCGATAAGGAATACATGACCCTGACTTTCCTGACAGGAACTAATTAGAGGAAGGGATGCATTGAATAAAATGAATATTAAAATCCTATGATCTAAAATAGGCGTCTTCAATCCGTGACGCGCTGAAGGTATTTTAGTGTCCCAACATTTGCGTTAGAGGCAATTAAAAAAAACTGCCTTGTCAGTTTTTTGTCGTAAAAAGGGGTTTTCTTTTATTCTTGATATTTAAAATATTCTATTGATATGCTTGATATCCGTATGAGACAATAATCTGAAAAAATACAGAATGTTTCAAAAATTTTACTGTATATCTCAAAAATATTTTTTTAAATAAAAATTTAATTAAAAATCTTATAGTTTTTTAGAAAAAAAAAAGATGGATTGATTTTAAGCTAGATTACTCCCGCCCATTCCACATCCCAAAGTTCAGAAACGTTTATGATCTTTGAATGAGAAAACAATGGCAAGGCCTTTACAACAAAAGTTGAAGGAAAAGCAAGTGCGTAGCTAACACCGTATCAGTCATACGAGCCCCCCCCCTTTAAGCTTCAGGGGCCCTAAAATGTATAAGAAAAAATCATAAAATATTGAAAGAAATTTTGATACGGGGCCCACTCAAGATTAGCTACACCAGTGGGGAAATGTGCAACTTTTTAAAGAGGTTAGATCTTTATTTTAGTTGAATATAAAAGTAGGGCAGAGTTTGCCTTATTTGCAACGACAATGTAGTATTGATGAAAGAATACAACATTAAGAGACACTATTATATTAAGAACAGAGGGAAATATTCTGCGTTAGGACATTTTCGAAAAGATATAGTGAGCGAATTAAAATCAAAGCTAAACTGTCAACAGTCTTTTTTCACCAGAGCGCGTGAAGAATCTGAAAAGAGTGTTCGTGTTAGCTGCAGGATAGCAGAAAATATTCCCAAGAGTAGAAAACCCTTTGCTGATGGAGAGTTTATTCAAAAATGCTTTCAGAGTGCAGTTGATGCACTTTGTCTATCACTGGCTCACACAAGCCATATCGAATATTAACTAGTCTGGTGCAATAGTAGCGCGACGCATGGAGTATCTTGTAGCAAATATATTCAGTAAATTAAAATCTAAATGAAAGCAATTTGAATTTTATTTTGTAGCGACGGATGAATCAACAGATACTGCAATTAAGTAACTGTAGTATCTGTTGTTAATTACTGCATATAAGTAACCATTTTTATTCTGGGTGTTGATAAAGACTTCACAATTGTAGAGGTATTACAAAAATAAGAATTCGGCTGAAAGACAGACATTTAGAAAGAACTTTACGAATTACAACAACACAGATTAAATCAAGGAAAAACAATGTCAAATTTTGCATTAAATTTTAAATAAGTACTATCACCCACCAATAATGTAATTTTTTTTATTGCCAATGTATTTTTGTAACATCGTCTGCACAATCCTCTAAACGTTTTTCATAATTAAAAAATATTGAAAAGCATTTTAATTTGACCTCCATTTAACTCTTTTTTAATCCAAAATATGTATACAAATATGTAACACCAACTTTTCTCTTAGAATCAATAGTAGTCTTGTAAAACAACCTTCATTAACACGCTTTTATAAGCTTCACCTAAATGTAACGGAATGTTTCAAACGGATTTTTACCCACTTTAAAATGTCAGATTAATTCGAAATTTTGCACATTTCTCAAAAACCGATGACAATACAACAATTTCATGATTTTGTTCCATTGTCCTGATCAGGATCATCAGGATTAACGATTTTCAGATTTGGCGACTAATTAATGATTTGCGACTACCAAAACAGCTGAGAATTGATTCAAAGGTCATTAGATTAAATAATTTCTCTCAAACTCTTCGATTCTAAACGGGTACTTTAATGTTTAATACTGATGGATGTTTTAGAAAGAATATTGAGCTCTTTTTAGTGAAAAGTATCACTGACTTCACACCTTCTTTCGCGTGAAATATTTCAAACTTAGCTCTTCCAGATTTCCCTTCAGTTGGCAGATCCTACATTTTGCAAACCGGGCCATTTCGACGCACTGATTGGATGTCAATGGGTATTCCACATTCTAAAAAATGACGCATTTAAGATTAATTCATCCATGAATAAATGATAATTTAAAAAAACACTTTTATTGTAGATTGAACTAAGAAATAAAAAATGAATTATAGTTTTAAAAAACCAAAAAACATGTTTTTATGGATAATCGAACTAAAAAGCAAAAAAATAATTCTTAATATAAAAATAAAATGATAAGCGAGAAAACTAATGTCATTGTGTAAAAGCGGGAGGGCTTTGTACTACATTTTTACACTCACTCTGCATTTCGGAATATAACTAGTAAGAAATTTTAACAATTGATATTGAGCACCTTTACCACAATGACATTAATTATCTCCTTAATCATTTTATACATCAAGAATTATTTTTACTTTTTAGTTTGATTAATTATAAAGGCGTGCTTTTTTTAGTTTTTTTAAACTATAATTTATTTTTTACATAATTTTTCGACAGACGTGTGAGGTTCACGGTTCTTTGTAAATATATCGAAGTGGCTCTTGGGCGTGAAAGACTGAAGACCCCTAATCTAGAAGAATGAACTATTATATATATATCCTTTTCCCCCATTTGCCATTACCTAGCCCAGGGGTAGGCAAACCTTGGCTCGCGAAATCGCTTGCTTCTCTTTGTATAGAGTTGCAGCTCTTCAGACTTCTGCTTTTATGAGTTATTAAAAAAATTATTCCTACAATAAAAATTGTCTCCCTCTCTCTTTATAATTATTTAGTGAAACCAATTATCTGCTCTTACATATGCATTTAAATATTTGACTGGCTTAAGATAGTTATCTCAGTAATAAATTATTTTCCATTTCATAACGAAACTTACTGTGGATCAGTGAAAATATTACAATATTTGTAAAGCAGTAAAAGTCCGATTTATTGGTAAAAATGCATCTATGGTAAGACATACAATTAAATTAAAATTGCAATAATGATTACTTATTTGCATAAATGAATTTGAGAGCTCTCGTGATTTGAAACAAAACATGCACTTAAACCTCCAACACAGGAAACAAAAACATTTTCCGCATTTTGTGAGAAGATTTCAAGTTAACAAAAAGAGTGTTTAAAAGAGACTTTTCTATGCAAGAACAACCAAATCAATCTAGAATAAAGCACTTATTGGGACTTAGGTAGAGAATATCTCTCTCTCTCTCTCTCTCTCTCTCTTTCATGAAGCATATTTAAATTACCAATATTATGAAACTTAAATTGCATTGAGCTACATAAATAAAAGTATCTTCCGTAGTTCTTAGTTTTTAAAGAAATATAAAATATTACTTTATATAAATAAAATTGTGTCCAAATACAATAAAAAATATTTATTCGAGCATTAGAGTCATGATCGCTCCCCTCTTGCAGCGCAAGAGTAAGCATATTAGCTTAGGCCAGTGGTTCCTACGGACTTCCAGAGGTCCCCGATATTATTCAGGGGGTCCGTGAAAAATTAAAATTGATTTAGGGGTCTCTGAACAACGTCAAGAAACCAAACAAGGTTTAATAAAAATATAAAAAAATTGATTCATTTTTATTTTTATAGAAATTTAAATAAATAACAGTAATTCACTCGGATATTCTACACTGGCTGTTGAACCCATTTGCGTGTGGACTAAATGAGAAAAAGAGATGAATCCATACTAATACAGGAGCATCTTTCTGAAATATCCACGAATGAGAGACTGAAACCCATGTTTGAGCAAGGATGCCCCAAATTCTGGTTACAAAAACCTATTCCAATTTTATATCCTGCATTATGGGTTATTGTACTGAAGTTGACTACTTTCCCGTCTTCCAATTTGGTAGAACGGGGATTCAGTGCCGAAATTTTTGACTTTAAAAAGGGGTCCATGGTTTAAAAAAGTTTAAGAACCACACTGGCTTAGGCTTATTAATAATTAGGATATTTATTTAGGCTCGTTGATAGTTTTTTTTTTATTTCACTTATACAAATAGGCTTTTCTAACGAAAAAGATTGTGCCTGCCCCTGACCTTGTAATGAGCAACTATTCCTACTTCCCTCTACCCCCCCCCTTTGTCTACTCTCGGACCCGGCTAGATGTGTGGGAGGAACTAATTGATCAGACGACATGATTCACTAAAATTGTTTTAAAGTCACAATATTCATCACAAGAACAATAATAATCCAATTAAGCTAGTTTTGATCAACAACTAGAGCCCGAAGGTGAGACCAGTTAGCATGGGGATAATATTTACGGACGTTCAATTAATTTCTACGATCACTTATACAAGCTCGTTTTTAACTCAGACGCGACTTACAATTTACTCTCTAACTTCTATTGAAATAATGAGCACAGTACCAGAACTCTTGTAATTCAAAAATCCTATAGATGAGGCCTTGGCCACTAAAGGTTGACTTTATCACCTCGCATCCGAGCAATCCTCACTTTGGTAATCTTCAATTCTCACTTTAATAATCTTAGATTCTCACTTCACTAACTCTCAAAACTCGCGAATACAGAATTTATATAATAAACTTAATTTGCACATGCTCACGTTTTCTTACCTTCGGTG